AGAATTGAATTAGAATAGAGAGTGCTAGAGTTAGAGGCTCAAATAAAGATGGAAGAGATGTGTTTTTAGCCGATTCTTGAAGATGGCTAAGGACTAATCCCTAGTTAAGATCATGATGTTTTTGCTCACTTCAAGTGTGTACAGGATGCAAGTTATTTAGGAATTCTAGAACTGTTAGTTTGTATTTTAACGCCTCAACTATGAGTCAGGTGAGTTGGGGTTTGATAGACAGCTGGAGCCTGTGTGGATACCCAACTTTGGGCCGAGGCGCTTCACTACATGCAGGCTGGGAATAGAGTTCCGCCCGTAGCTACATCTCCGACAAGCTTTCAGTAATAATACCCCTGCATGAAGCCTCCAATTAATTCACCCTGCTTCCTGAATCACACACTTGCACACTGTGTGTGTGTGTGTGTGTGTGTGTGTGTATGTGTGTGTGTGCGTGTGTGTGTGTGTGTGTAGAGGAATGGGGAAAGAGCCACATGACACCCAGCTGCAAAGTAATGAGGAGGTTGTTTTTAGAGCTTGATTATTATTTATTTATTTAAAAAATTAACAAATCAGTGGGGAGCTGCTGCTTTTTATGGCTTTCAGTGGCAATGGTAGCATGAAATTAATTATCCTTATTTTCAAAGTGGAAATGTAAATTTTTTCTTTTATTCATTTATTTATTCGCACACGGAGCTCTTGCAGATTATGCATCTTAAACTTCTCTGAAATGTTAATATGCCAGTCTCAGAATGGCGTAAACCGAAAGAAAATAAATAGTTAATTTAGCATGCAACTCTTTTGCATTTCCGCTCGCCTTACATTAATCGTACTTCTGAGTGTATAATAAGTTTCATCAAAAGAGAAAAATTGACTGCATTTTCCGCAGCTCTTTTACTTGATGAAAGGCTTCAGTAAATGTACCCTCCTTGGCTTTAATTTTAGGTATCATTACTCCAATTGCGTTGCTATGGTGACTGAAGGCATTCCTGCCCCTGCCAAAGAAATGGTGACTGGCGACTCTCTTTGTTTCCGTGGCAACTACCCCTCCCTCTCCCCCGCTCACTTTCTGTCTCTCTTCTCTCTTCCTTCCAAGGTGAACCTGGACTTGTCCTCACTCTTGGACGGCGATGACAAGAAATCAAAAAACAAAAGAGGCGTCCTTCCCAAACATGCCACAAACATTATGCGTTCCTGGCTCTTCCAGCATCTCATGGTGAGAAAAAAGGAAGTGTTTTCTTCTTACATTATTGCCCTACAAACCAAAGAGAGGCTTGGGAGTTTAAAATGCACTTCATTTTAATCATATCTGGTTAGAACTGACATAGATAAATACAAACATGTACATTTACTTATAAAGACTAAAAATAAAGATATACCATTTACATAATACCCTATCATTTATTTTTTGGTTTCCAGCATCCTTATCCTACAGAAGACGAGAAAAGACAGATCGCAGCACAAACAAATCTGACCTTATTACAGGTGAACAACTGGTAAGAACGATAGTGTAATTCACAGCAAAATGGCGCCATCTAATGGCCACAAACAAAATCACAAAACTTGTTTGCGATTTACACGTAGTAAATCCTGGTATGTGTCTTATCCGCGTAATTTCTCTCTCTCCTGTCTTTTGAAAGGTTTATCAATGCCCGCAGGCGTATACTGCAGCCCATGCTGGATGCCAGTAATCCTGACCCTGCTCCCAAAGCCAAGAAGATGAAATCTCAGCACAGACCCACACAGCGCTTCTGGCCCGACTCCATTGTAGCTGGAGTCCTGCAGACACACGGATCCCACTCCACAAACAATTCAGACAGTCAGTAATATGAACACATTCTCTAGTCAAGTCAAGTCAAGTAACCTTTTTTATGTAGCGCTTTATACAATACAGATTGTTTCAAAGCAGCTTTACTGTAATAAACAGGGAAATAACAGAATCAGTGATGCAGACCTCATCAAATATGAGACAAATTCAGAATTCTTTTGCGCTTTATATAATACAGCTTGTTTCACAGGGAAATAAACAGGATAATAACAGTATCAATAATGCAAACTTCATCAAATATGAGACAAATTCAGAATTCTGCTATAAAGCAGCTCTAAAAAGACAATAGTGCCATTATTCAACTCAAGTCGGTTGGTTCAGTTCAATAACTGCAAAGTTCATCTGTTCTGAAATGAGTTTAATTCAGCTATACGAAGTTCTACAGGAGACAATAGTGTCAGTTGTTTCAGTTCAGTTGAATTCAGTTCTTTAATTGCAGATAGTATGCTAAATATTAATGGTAAAGAATTAATTTAGAGGTTTTAAACCATCAACTACTCTTCTATCAGAGTTAAATATATAAAATTCACTTTATAAATTTTCATGACTTTTCCCTGAGATTGTAATTATTTCTGTCACTTTTTCAGGCTTGAAATGGAATGAAAATTATAGTTTATGAAGTGAACACATTAAATATAATACATTATATTTATCATATATATAAATATATACTACCATTCAAAAGGTTGAGTTTAAAAAAAAAAATAAAAAATAGTGCTTTTATTCAACAAGGATACATTAAAGTGATTTAGTGCATTAAGGTGAAAAGTGCATTAAGAAATATTTTATTTATAATTTCATTCATAATGTTACAAGATTTCTATTTCAAATAAATGCTGTCTTTTGAAATTCCTATTTACGAAAGAATCCAGAAAAATATGAAAAGCCAGTTTTCTGAAAAATATTAAAGCAGCACAACTGTTTTCAACATTGCTAATAATAATAAATGTTCAGCATGTTCGAATGACTTCCGAAGGGTCATGTGACTGGAGTAATGGCCGCTGGAAAACCAGCTTTTAAATAACAAGAAAAAATTACGTTGTAATATATTTTAAAATAGAAAACAGTTATATTTTGCAGTATTACATTTTTACAGTTTATTTTTGATTAAACAAAAACAGCCTTGGTGAGCAATAACATAAAGCATTTTACCAGTTTTATTTTAAATGGATGAGTGTTACTGACAGTTTACAATAATACCTGTTAGTTAAAAAAGACGTGTTTGTGTTTCTGTGTGTATGTTTGTCAGATTCTCTTGGCATGGACGGCCTGCAGTCTCTGTCCTCAGACACCGCCACACTGGCGATGCAGCAAGCCATGCTGGGAGGAAATGAGGATTCCATGGACGGCACAGAGGAGGAGGACGACGAAGAGGAGGAAGAGGAGGGAATCGACGAGGAGGAAGACGAAGAAGAAGATGAAGAAATCGAGGGAGGCAGACAGATGGCTCGGAGAGATCTGGGCCTCAACCACAACGAAGGACTTGAATAAAGGATCAGATAGACGAAAATGTCAAAATTGACTTAACTCCTACTCATCCCCATGGCAACACATCTCAACACCTGAAGGTTTCCAGTGGACACTAAGTGCTGTGGAACATCCAGTCAGAATGAAGAGGAGGGGCCTGTTATGGACTCGATGAATGAATAAAATTCATGTTAAAGTGAGAATTCGAAGGAGGACAGAAGAACATTGTACTGTATATTGGGCCGTTAGCCAAGCTCTCATGCATATAATCCATTTAAGCCTTACTTTGTTTAATATGTCTCTTTGGTTCTCAGGTGTCTTAGCATGACATAATGTCTACCCTCTTACAGTCATATTGATAACCATGCAATGAGTGGATGTTTTAGGCATGTTTCTTTCTTTCTTTTTTATTTGTATTTTTGTAGTTAATGAAATATTCAGTCTTCGAAGATTAAAAAAGAAATGCCTGACAGCACAATGTATGTACATTTTAATAGTGATGCATTTTACCCAGACACTTCATATTTATTTTCCAAACTGTCAAAAGGCAGTGGCACAATCAACAAGGATGCTGTCCGCTGAAAAAAACATCAGCCTGGTTCAAAACAAACGCATGTTGGGAGACTCGACGCAGAGTGCCAAGCATCTCTTACACGTACAGAACAAATCTCTCGTGCCCTTCTGAAACCGCAGGACCTACAAATGACGTTTACTGAAGAACACTGCAGGAAAAAAAGAGACCTATTTACAGGTGCGTATCACACCCTGAAACGCCCCTCTTTATTTTATGTGAAGGACGAAACAAAAACTGTGAAGATATTTCTGAGCTTTTCGGCTTACTGTGTCTACAGATTTAATCACCTGTTTCTGATGTGATGTTTAGAAAAGACAGGATGTTTCTGAATGTTATTGCAGTTGGTCTTTGTGAAGTACATGTTTCTCATTATTATCCTTTTCTTGGTTGTTTTTTTTAAATGGTTCTTCCAGAGCAAGTGATGATAGGGGAGCTTTTCAATGATTTGTTTGTATACATTGTTGTCATAATCTATTGTGTTTCAGTAGCTCATTTTTGATAATTAAAAACTATGGCTCTAGTGGACCTGGGTGTCATTTTGCAAACTAATATACAGTATAGCTACTACAAATGAATACATGTATACTTGTCGCTAAATGATCAAATGATCACCATTAAAAATGTGAAAACATTCTTCATTGAAATTAAGATAAAATAAAATAAAGAAAACTAATATTAGATGACAAAAAATAAAAAAGGTGAAACACTAAACTAAAACTGAAATAAAAAAATACAAATATATAAAATAGCTATAATAAAACCCTGTAATTCAGGATATTAATAAAAAAAAACATGGTATATAAACAATGCAAAAATAACTGCTTATAGTGCATGAATATTGTCTTATGTTATTTATTTTTTATAACTTTTAGATTTAGTTGTCCAGAATCATAATATTCACAAGCATAATTGTACGTATTGGTTTAGGGGCAACACAACAATTGCAGTATCAATATCTATAGACCCAAGGCCTGAACAATTACTTAAACCACAGTGTTACTCTGGTCATAATTTTTGTAACCTAAATAACTATAACCTCAAGCTCTAGCTGTGAATAAAAATAAAACCTCATGATTTCCTGCAAGGATTTTTAAAAAACCTATTCAAGGCCACTGGCAACTGCCGAAGTCTCCACTATTTTTCCATCTGTGAATATTTTTGGGTGACTTTAGATGTTATAAAGCACCTTCATATGAGCAGATAACTATGGTGTCATGTGTAGGTGTTTAATTCATGTGGCCAATTCTGGATGTTTACTTAGATTGCAAACTCCTCAGTCTGAATGTTCGCATAGGTTTCTATAAAAGTTATGCCTAAAAGCTGCACAGTACGTTCAAATAAACATCTTCTGGGCATGAATGGGTTAAACAACAATCTAAGCAGCTCTAAACTTTGTGAAGGTCTGTATGCATCTGAAATAACAGTGTTTGTGGATTCTTGTACATGCACTCTTGAGCATGGCTTCTCAGGCAGGGCTGTTCAGGGCAGGAGAATATAAATAACCTGGGAAATGACAGAGGCAAGAAAAGCCACATAACTGGGTACATTTGAAGTGGATTGGTGCCACAGGGCTGATGAGCATGTTAGGGAATTCAGTAGATCTGCAGTCAATCTCCACCCTCTCCCTCTCTCTGCTTTTGCCCCAGCAGGCTTAAAAGTCCTCTCTAACTCTTTTAATTACCCTGTAAACCAGCCCAGTATAGCCTCTCATTTCGCTCAGACCTCCTCCAGTACTTAAGATCCACGCCAGCATCCCTCTCCTCTCCAGCCTCAGGACCAGTTTACTGCTGGATTGATCCACAATACATTCCTCTACTGGACAAGGAATTCATAAGGTATTGTAATTCCTAAGTTTTTTTTCTCCACACTTAATATAGGCCTATTAACCCTGCATCATTCTAAACCATAGATTAAAATGTAAAAGCTTCATACTTTACAGCCTTAAACATGGGGTTTGAAATTAATCCAGGATATTCCAGGTTTCACACTGTACATTTGTAAACAACAGGTTAACGTTTTTATTTGTATGTTTTGCACTTTTTTATATATATATATATATTTTCCGTGTCAGTAGCATTTAATTGAATGATTACAGGACGCTACCTGTTTAACATTCGAATTAATTTATTAAATTCTTATTTGCATATTGATTTGACAAATACATCAACGCATGTGTCACTGTTGTTGGGTTTAAAGTGCCCCTATTATGGGTAATGAAAGGTTCATATTTTGGTTTTGGGAGTCCCCAACAACAGGTTGACATACATGCAAGGTCAAAAAACTCTTTCATTGTCTTATAATATGCATTTATTTTTACCTTACTTGTTCAACGACTCCCAAACGATTCGCTCAACGACGATTCATTTTCCAAACCCCTCCTTTGCATGACGCTAATCTGCGGTGATTGGTCCGATTGGATCATGCCTGTAATGCCTGATTATGTCATTTTTATTCAGACCAACGCGAAAAGACCAACAAGTGGGCGGGCAATATGCTAATGACATCAACATGAAACGCTTGGGATTCGTTTTAAAAACGACTTGTTTCAATGATTCAGAGTCGACTCTTTTGAGTAACTTTTATACTTTTTATAAAATAACTTTATACACGGTGCACTCTCAGATTTAAAACTCTGCAGGATGTTTTCATTCACTTAGAGCTGTGTTACACACTGCATGAAATGTAATTTTCAAAAATACGTAATAGGGGCACTTTAAATTCCTTCCTTACTTTCTAATTTGTCCTGAATAGATTTTCGGACCACAATTGTAAGAACAAAACTCTTAGTCACTCCAATTACATTTACATTTACATTTAGGCTTTTATCCAAAGCGACTAACAAATGAGGACGATGGAAGCAATCAAAATCAACAAAAGAGCATTGATATGCAAGTGCTATAACAAGTCTCAGTTAGCTTAATGCAGTACACGTAGCAAGTTTTTTTTTTAAATCATATAATAAATAAAAAGACCCCGATTAAATAGAAAATCTCATAGGGCCCTAAAATTTTTTTGTTGTTGTTGTTCAACATTTAATATATTGATCATATTGATCTTA